GAAGAAAAAGAGAGATACCTCGAAAGTGTTACATAATATTTATAATTTTCTCGTTCTTTTTTCCTCATATGTAGACCTTTTGCCTCCTAACCTCAATTTCATCCTCCAAAGAACTAGTTTTTTTTTCTTTTACGAAAATGAAACGCAAGCGAATCTTTTCTCCTTCTAACACGCTATCATAATTGATCATATATTTAATAGCTTTGTTATTAGGAAAACTTTGAAAACAAAAATGGAACATGAGGTTAAGCTGTGAGTTGAGATCAAAGTTTGTAAAACTGTTTTTGCCATTATGTTAGACACAGTAACTTCAAAGGAGTTTTTATAGTCAGTAAAAAAAACTGTTACGGGGAAAAAGGGTTTGTTTTCATTGCCCTAAATAGCACGGAGGAAAAAGAACGGCGATTTATTCTAGAATGTCGGAGTTAATGAATCCTATTTTCTTCACACATGGCGTTGTGATTAAATAAATCAGGTATCAGATCGATTTTTTTTGAGGCAGCAGCGATTACATCTGGAGATCCCAAGATAGCAAGATAACGGAAATATATATCGAAATGCCGCGTGGCTGGTCGATGCTCTACCTGAAGTGGCCTCCGTGAGAACGAACGGCATTCCTGACTCTTTCTCATTTATCTCTCTTTGGTTGATTTATTATGCAACCAAATGCGCGATGTCGAGTTTGGAAGTCCGATCTTTTGCCTCCCCTGCTCGTGTGTGCGTTTCATCGTCTACGTGTGTGCGTGTATGCATATGTACGTGTGTGCGTGAGAACTCCCGGTCCAGACGTCGCATGTATTACACCACGACGTAGATGCCAGTGGTCGCCAGACACAACGACTACTTCTGCTTTATATTCGAGATTTCTTTTGCCACTTTGGTGTTATATTCATTCCCTCGTAGCTAAAGTAAGTCGAATTAACTATAGATATTTATATATATAACACAAACACAGGCAGTGCGCGAATAAAATATGTCTGTCCATAAATTCCTGGGCGTTCACAGCTGAACCCATGAAGGGGCCGGTGAGGGGGGGGTTACATTTGTAAACACTACCGAGTTCTTCCTTGTGTTCTATCTAACGCATATGCGGCGTAGCTCCATGATGTCTATTTCAAGCATGCTCGAATCGCCTCAGTTGATCTGTCTGTGAAAGCATGACGACAGAATAAGTCCTCAAAACACCGGCTCCCGATCCCACCCCATGTGACTCGGCGCCATTTTCCCCTCCTGCTTCCCCCTCCCCCCCCAACGCGCTCCCCCACCACACTGTAAACACAACATTCAGTCAGTATATGACTAGCTGCGGAGGTGTAGAGTGTCGACGCTCGTCCGTCTGGTGGATATGATTTAAATTGCGTTTGCATACGACTTGTGTCTGTGTGGGAACTCGTGGAGCTCGTACGTGGGGCGATAACTGTCGGGGATCGAGTACGCGAGTGGATATATTCGCAGGAGTGACGCAGGAAACCCTCAAGAGCTTGTGAATTTGGTTCGCGCACACTCGCTCGCCTATCCAAGACTAGCGTAGTATTTTTAGCGTGCCCAGTGAGAGTTGGGAGTGTGTGCGTGTGCGTGTGCGTGTAAGTGCACGTTCTTTGAAGCATGTGTGTTGGTGTATGTGTGCGTGTGTGTCATTCCCTGTGATTTTTATCCTCAGAGGAAGCGAAATTTAGACCACGTCGAGCCAGAGGAATTACGCAGAAGGGCGGAGTGAAAGAAAAAAAAAGACCGTGTTAGATACCCAGTGTGTCATAGTGAAAAGTATTGGCAAGCAAACGTACAGGTGCAAGTGCAGTTGCATGCAAATGTCAATCCCCTACTCCCCCCCCTCTCTAACATACCCGAAGGACGAGGCACGGAATTGTGTGCTAGCGACCTGTCCACCGCTATTGCGTCATTCGTTTTGGAGGTCCGCGAACCCAGCCCGCCGCCTGTGGGTTTTTAGTTTTTGCTCTCCCCTTTTTCGTTATATTTTCGGAATGACCGCTTGGTTCTTTGATGTTCGTGTTCGCCAGTGTTCGTTTCTGTTCGGAAGGCTTGCTTAGTTTTTTTTTTTTAAATTATGTATTTAGTGACGTGATATTTGTATTGTGTAGACTTATGATTGTATTTCTCAATGCAGCAGTGAGGTGAACCGAATTTATTTAAGATCTTTCGAAATTAGACCCGACGAAAATAAAACGATATCGCCTCAGGGTGTACGAATTAGAAAATAATAATAATAATAATATTAATAGTAATAATAAATCCACGTTTGGGATGTTCTCGCCTCATACCTGAAGAGGGAAAAAAATACCTCACTCAAACAACACCGAACTTAAACACACCGGAAAGGGAAAAAAAATATATATTATCCTCAGTCCCACAAGAAGGAAAATAATTACAGTATTAGCCCAGGAGGATTTACCTACGACTGGCCACAGGAGCTTCAACCACGAGACAGCAACTGTCTTCGACCTACCTTAGGACACCTTACCTCATCTACCCATCGCAAAAGGTAAGCAAATGGGGATGTCTCTTTATTTTGTAAAAGGTGTTGATGTCCTTTATTTCTTTTAATTTCTTTCTTCATATTGTTATTATTGTCATTGTTTTGAATTGTTATTATTATTATTATTATTATTATTATTATTATTTTTAATATTATTTTTATCATTATTATTATAACATTGTTATTTTTGTTATTTATTTATGATACTGTTATTAGTATTGCAATTCTGTTTTATTACTTTGGAAATTGGTAACTGTAAGAGAACCGAACGAAAGGGAATGAGGGAGAGAGAGAGAGAGAGAGAGAGAGAGAGAGAGAGAGAGAGAGAGAGAGAGAGAGAGAGAGAGAGAGAGAGAGAGAGAGAGAGAGAGAGAGAGCAGACTTGTTGGTTCTTGGACTCGCTGACTTCGCGACGGAACGATCGATATTTGCCCGCCGAATGGATTGTGGGAGGGAAGGAAAGGGAGGGGAAAGCAAGGGGCGAGAAAGGAGGGGAAAGGAAGGTAAGGGAGGGGAAGAGAAGGGAAGTGAGGGGAAGGCAGGAGAAAGGAGGGGAGGGTAAGAGAGGGGAAAGGTAGGGAAGAGAAAGGAGGGGAAGACAAGGGAGGAGAAAGAAGGGGAAGGAAAGGGAGGGGAAAGGAGGGGAATGAGAGAGAGGGAAGATAAATGAGGGGAATGGAGAGAGGGGAAAGGGAGGAAGAAAGGAGAGGGAGGGTGGGGAGGGTGTTACCTGTCAAATACACGCACATTTACTCACGCACACGCGCACACACACACACACACACACACACACACACACACACACACACACACACACACACACACACACACACACACACACACACACACACACACACACACACACATCCACATCCGCATCCACATCTAACCATTCATTCTATTCTAAAAAAAAAAAAAAAAAAAAAACACTTTATTTACACATTATGAGTTTGTAACTCAAAAAAACTACTTTAAAAACTGTTTCTTCGTTAGCAACATTACCCCTTAGCATTAACAGATCGTATTTCTTAACGCAAATGATTATGACGCAACTGTAATCAAAGTCATCAGTTATTAGACAAAGTTATCAGTCATTATCCAAAGTTATTAAATATTATCCAAAGTTATCCGGGCAATTTTCTCTATCGGGAGGCGATTCCGTTATTAAGTTCGCCATTTCCATTACTTAACAACGATCGTATTAACGGGGCTTGGGACGAGAGTAAAAGATGGTGAACGCCGGATGTTCCTTATAATGAATGAATGAAGAAATTACTTGTAATCGTAGAGGTACGTATGGAGAGAGAGAGAGAGAGAGAGAGAGAGAGAGAGAGAGAGAGAGAGAGAGAGAGGAGAGATAGATAGATAGATAGATAGATAGATAGATAGATAGATAGATAGATAGATAGATAGATAGATAGATAGATAGATAGATAGATAGATAGATAGATAGATAGATAGATAGATAGATAGATAGATAGATAGGTAGAGTGAGAGAGAGAGAGAGAGAGAGAGGGTGAGAGATGGAGCATTTTTATGGCATCCCTATTTTTTATAAAGTGTTAATCATTATTATTATTGTTGTTATTATTATTATTATTATTATTATTATTGTTGTTATTATTATTATTATTGTTGTTATTATTATTATTGTTGTTATTATTATTATTATTATTATTATTATTATTATTATTATTATTATTATTTATTATTATTATTATATTATTATTATTATTATTATTGTTGTTATTATTAATATTATGATTGTTACTGTTGTTGTTATTATTATTATTATTGTTGTTATTATTAATATTATGATTGTTACTGTTGTTGTTATTATTAATATTATGATTGTTACTGTTGTTGTTATTATTATTATTATATTGTTATTTTTGTTATTTATTTATGATACTGTTATTAGTATTGCAATTCTGTTTTATTACTTTGGAAATTGGTAACTGTAAGAGAACCGAACGAAAGGGAATGAGGGAGAGAGAGAGAGAGCAGACTTGTTGGTTCTTGGACTCGCTGACTTCGCGACGGAACGATCGATATTTGCCCGCCGAATGGATTGTGGGAGGGAAGGAAAGGGAGGGGAAAGCAAGGGGGGAGAAGGAGGGGAAAGGAAGGTAAGGGAGGGGAAGAGAAGGGAAGTGAGGGGAAGGCAGGAGAAAGGAGGGGAGGGTAAGAGAGGGGAAAGGTAGGGAAGAGAAAGGAGGGGAAGACAAGGGAGGAGAAAGAAGGGGAAGGAAAGGGAGGGGAAAGGAAGGTAAGGGAGGGGAAGAGAAGGGAAGTGAGGGGAATGAGAGAGAGAGAGAGAGCGTAAGAGAGAGAGAGAGAAGGAGAGGGAGGGTGGGGAGGGTGTTACCTGTCAAATACACGCACATTTACTCACGCACACGCGCACACACACACACACACACACACACACACACACACACACACACACACACACACACACACACACACACACACACACACACACACACACACACACATCCACATCCGCATCCACATCTAACCATTCATTCTATTCTTAAACAAAAACAAAAAACACACTTTATTTACACATTATGAGTTTGTAACTCAAAAAAACTACTTTACAAACTGTTTCTTCGTTAGCAACATTACCCCTTAGCATTAACAGATCGTATTTCTTAACGCAAATGATTATGACGCAACTGTAATCAAAGTCATCAATTATTAGTCAAAGTTATCAGTCATTATCCAAAGTTATTAAATATTATCCAAAGTTATCCGGGCAATTTTCTCTATCGGGAGGCGATTCCGTTATTAAGTTCGCCATTTCCATTACTTAACAACGATCGTATTAACGGGGCTTGGGACGAGAGTAAAAGATGGTGAACGCCGGATGTTCCTTATAATGAATGAATGAAGAAATTACTTATAATCGTAGAGGTATGTATGGAGAGAGAGAGAGAGAGAGAGATAGATAGATAGATAGATAGATAGATAGATAGATAGATAGATAGATAGATAGATAGATAGATAGATAGATAGATAGATAGATAGGTAGGTAGATAGGTAGATAAGTAGGTAGATTGATTGATTGATAGATAGACAGATAGATAGATAGATAGATAGATAGATAGATAGATAGATAGATAGATAGATAGATAGATAGATAGATAGATAGATAGATAGATAGGTAGAGGTAGAGAGAGAGAGAGAGAGGGTGAGAGATGGAGCATTTTTATGGCATCCCTATTTTTTATAAAGTGTTAATTATTATTATTATTGTTGTTATTGTTATTCTTATGATTATTGTTGGTGCTATTATTTTTGTTTTGTTATTATTGTTATTATTATTATTATTATTATTATTATTATTATTATTATTATCATCGTTGTTGTTGTTGTTATTATTAATATTATTGTTGTTATTATTATTATTATTATTATTATTATTATTATTATTATTATTATTATTATTATTATTATCATCATCATTACTATTATTATTATTATTATCACCATTATTATTATCATTATTATTATTAATATTATGATTGTTACTGTTGTTGTTATTATCATTGCTATTGTTATTTCTATCATAATTGTTATTATTATTGTTGTTGTGTTGTTGTTGTTGTTATTATTACTGCTACTATTATTGTCATTATAATTATTATTATTATTGGCGGTATTATTATTATTGTTGTTGTTTTAATCATTAACGTTGTTCTCGTTATTTTAATCTTTAAAATAATTTTCATCATTATTATCATCCCTTCTATCGTGATTTTATCAGCATCATCAGTATTTTTATTCGCCATATATTGTGCTATTATAGGCCTACATATTTTTAACATACTATTATTTTTATGGTATTGTCTCCATAAGAAGACTAAAAAACTTAAAGTAATTCAGAAAAAAACATCCATGCACTTTTTAAGTCCGTAACCAAGTACAAACAGACAATGAAACCCATGATAAGAGGAAGTATTTGTACGTTAAATATCCAAATGCGAGTGGGTGTACACTGATGTACAGTACACCTACGTACTTCTCCGGCCGCTACACTCTCCAGCGTGCGTGAAGGTGTACATGCCTTTCTGTACATGATATGTATATCCTTCATGTCATGCAAAGTCGTGGTGGTGGGGGGGGGATGATAGGGAGATTAGGTGAAAAGTACATCTCTTTGCCGGTTCGTGGATAAAATGGCGCATGGATTTCTTATCTAGCGCGTAGGCTGAGCGGTGGGCGTGAGCGGCGGTGCGAAGGTCATAGGTCAAAGGTCGTGACCTATCCCAACCCATACCGCTCCCCCCCCCCTTACTCTCCCCACCCTCTCCACCTCTTCTCCACTCTCTTCCCTCTCTCTCGGGTCCTCTCGACATCTCTGATTCTCTGCCTCTTGCCTTCTTTCTCATTTTTTCCCCTTCTCTCTCTCTCTCTCTCTCTCTCTCTCTCTCTCTCTCTCTCTCTCTCTCTCTCTCTCTCTCTCTCTCTCTCTCTCTCTCTCTCTCTCTCTCTTTTCTCTTGTTACTTTTTTCCTCCTCCTTTTCGTCTCTTTATCTCGTGTTCTTTCTTTCACTCAATCACTCTCGTACCGCCTCTCCCTCTGTTTTCCCTTCCTTTCCTTCTCCCTGTCCCTCAGTCACTCCCTCCCTCTCCCTTTCTCATTCTCCCCTTCCCTCTACCTCCCTCCTTCCCTCTCTCTCTTCCTTCTCTCTAGGGGGGGGGGGGGGGGGTGCTGTGATGGTTAATGGCTGTGGATGACGTTTTGTGGTTGTGCGAATCCGAAGTGGAGCTGTTGTTGTTTTGTTGTTTTTATGTTTACTATTATTATCGTTATTATGATTATTATCGTTATTATTATTATTATTGTTCTTATTATTATTGTTCTTCTTCTTCTTCTTCTTATTCTTCTTATTGTTGTTGTTGTTGTTGTTGTTGTTTTTGATATTCTTATGACCACTATTATTATTATTATTATTATTACCATTATCATTATCATTATTCTATTATCATTATTATTA